ACCATGACGTCATAAAATTTTGGATAATACGAAATATGAGAATGAAAATTGAAAAGCAAGCGTTGCATTTAGAAATATATATTTATTTCTCGACGCATTTAGAAAAATATTATGAAGTAATTAATAATAACACATATAAATAGCTTATTAGGATAGTATCCGCATTGTACGCAGAGTAAAAGTGAATATATACAAATGGTATTCAAAAATTGTTTGTATGTTTAAATTAGTAATTATTTTGTATAGGAATATGTTTCACATAAAGATATGAAAAATGTATATATCAAACACATTTATTTTACTTCTCATTGGATTATATATTTATCTTTTAGATTTAACAGTGAGATTTAATATTAAAAGTTTTGAAATAGTATATGTTTTTGGCAAGTTTACGAATATTCATATGTTTTTTCTTAAAGTTTAAGAATATTCAAATGTGTTTAAACTTATGTTTAAAACTTTATATTTAATGGTCATATGAGTTCGAAAAAATAATGATAAAAAACACTTTGTATTTAAGTTCACTGTTTAAGCATGTTAGATAACACAAACACAATAAAAGGTAAAAGATGTTTAATACAGTCTATTAGAACATTTAAATTCGTTTAGCAAATGTGAAATTAGTTACGATATGATAAAAAACTATCAAATATTATTGTTATGATAATTTTGTTTGATTTTTAAAAATATTTCGTGAAACTTTTTTTCGCTCCAATGTTCTTTAATTACCAATTTACCATGGTAAACTTATTTATAGTTGATTACACTTTTTTTGGTTGAATGAACATTAAATTAGATTTTGAATATTTGTGGTAAGAAGTTTTAATGACTGCGTGAAAAAGAGATAGTTATAGTAACTACAAAGATTTTGAAAATTTGTTACTAATGATAATCAATTTTTTTCTTTAGATCTCAACTAAAATTATTATGATTTATTTAATTTAATAGGTTTTTGTATAACAACCTCACATTCATTAAAAAAATATATATATGGTGTTAGTTTATTTGTTTACAAACATATAATTTTATCAATCATATTGTTTCATAATAATAAAAAATCCAAAAGAAAATTTTTATAGTAAGTTTTTCGTACAACTTTGTACTGTATAAATATATAAAATCTAAATTTATAGGTTTAGGATAATTGTATGGATAATGTAAGCTTGTTTTTATATACAAATTTGAGTTTGATTAATTCGTAAAGTTTTTCATGTAAAATATTCTTCAATCAATTTTTTTTAATGAAAGTTTGAAATATTGTTTGGCAATAAGTATATCTTATGTTTGATGGTGATGACGTATCATAAAAATTAGCTTATAATGTTTTTCTTTTAATAAATATAAGATAAATGACTCATGCTTACGTCACCGAATAAGTTGTCACTTTCGATATAAAATCAGATAGAAATTATTTGGCCATCATCAGAATTATGACTGTTTTTTGTTTAGATAATGAAAAACAAAAAGGAAGAATCAAATTG